ATATTTTAATATATCATGCAAATATTAATCAGTTTATTTTTTTAAAGGTATATCCAATGTTGTATCTAAAGAAAAAAAAATAGTGGATCTAAAATTAGCAGTACATATTGCTACACATTCGGCATTGAGAAGAATTGACCACATGGGAGAGCTTTTAAAAGTATTTGGTAAAGGATCATGTTTGGAAAATTTACGCATGCACCGCACTAAATGCACAAAACTAATTTTAAATGTTATATCACCGTCAATTGTTGAACAACTTGTTAGCGATGTCGGCAATAAAGGATATTCCCTTATTGTGGATGAATCTACTGACATATCAGTATCAAAATATATGGCTTACTGTATAAGGTATCACAGTGAAAGTTTGAACTATATTACTGTTGAATTTCTTGGGTTAGCTATTGTTGAACGCGCCACAGCAGATGTGCTGAGAGACATAACTATCGAATTTCTAAATGAGTTGAAACTGAAACCCGAAAATATAATTGGCATAGGTGTTGACGGTGCAAGTAACTTATGTGGGCAAAACCATTCTCTATACACTCTTCTTCGTGAAATTTCACCAAAAATTCAGTTGATAAAATGTATTTGCCACTCATTGAATACTTGTTCTTCTAAGGCTTCAGAAAAAATACCAAATCATATTGAATTCTTATTGCGTGAATCTGTTTCGTGGTTTTCACATAGTCCACTGAGACAGATGGAGTATAGCACATTGTACAAAACAATAAATGGTGATGGTTCAAAACAAAAAAAATTGAAAAAGTTGTGTGCTACTAGATGGCTTGCTTTTTATAACTGTATTAGCATTATACTAGATCAGTGGTTGGAATTAAAAACATGCTTTGGAATGGCTGCTGTTAAAGAAAAATGTCATAGTGCCCAGATTTTATCAAACATGTATAAAGATGATTCAAATCTTTTATATTTGACATTTTTGAAACCAATCTTAAGAGAGGTGACAAACGTCAATTTATTATTTCAAAGTGATCACGCAGATTTAACTAAAGTTTATGGTGATCTTAAAAGTTTATTAGTAGCAACTTCTAAGAGAATAATAAAACCTAATTTTCTACGTGATGATGAAGTTCCGACAGCATTGTGTGTGGAGGATGTTGATAGGGTTGCCAAAGCTTTAAAAAATAAACTTGCTTTATTGCCGTTAGATGCAGTTGATTTTGGCTATGCTTTTTCTAATCTAGCTAATAAAAAAACTATTGCTTCCAAAGATCTACAAATTGTTAAATCTAACTGTGCAAACTTTATAATAAGTCTTTGTGAACAATTAATAAGCCGCTTGCCGAATAACGTAAAAATTATAAATCAGCTGAAACATTTCAACCCAAGAACAATATGTTCTGCAGAGCCACCAGCATTTAAAGATTTGCCATTAGAGCTTGCCAGTAATAGCTTGATTAATAATTAATTATGAATAAACTAAATGCATAGAATAATATAGAATATTGATATAACTTTGTTTCAGAAGCTAATGTAGATTTGGAAGGTATGGAAATCCAGTGGAATCGACTGTTAACATTACAATACAAGGATATATGTAGTTCTTCCATTCCAATTCAGACCAAAGATACATCTGAATTTTGGGTTGATGTTTCAAAGCTTAAAAACAGTGACGGAGAAAACAGTTTTACTGATATATCAGAATTTGCTTTGCGAATTCTTTCTTTACCATTGGCAAACGCTTCTGTAGAACGGGTATTTAGTATAATGAATGCTGTCAAAACAAAGGCGAGAAATCGCATGCAAATGTCAACTCTAGAAGCGATTTTAAGATTACGTCTTCATTTGTATGTGAGTAATTTTGTTGAATATACATTTTAATTAGTTCTGAATTTATAATGTAATTATTTTTAATCAGTCCAGGAAAATATGTTGCAAGGACTTTGAGCCGACCGAGCTGATGATCCAAAAGTTTAATTCATCATCAATGTATGATGATCCAAAATCATCAAATGAAGAACTGGAATCAGAATTACTCATTGATGAAGCTATGGAATTATATGCTACTCAAGTTACTGAACTATAAATATATATACATATAAACTGTATATAAGTCTGTAAATATATTGTTTATAAAATTATTACAGTTTTTATTTGTTGTTAATATTAAAATAAATCATATTTTGTTCTCAATTTTTTATATTTTAGTCACTATAACACAACAAAAAAAGTCTCCTATAGTCCAATATTTAAACACTGTTATTTGGTATACTGAGAGCACTGCACTATGCAGTACTAAAGGTTGAACATAATAGGCACTAGGCCATAGACCATAATATATTAATGTCTAATTTAGTAATTTAAGTCATGGAATTAATTAAATTTATTTTTATTTTTTAAACAACAATTTTTTTGGCGGTTTTGGGCGGTTATCTGATAATTTTCAAGTTGGCTATTTTGGGCGATATCAACACCATCTAGTGGCGATACACTCTATAATCTATCTGGCAACGCTGTCCCGTATCACTAATGTCATTATCATTCTCATTTTTCTAAAAAGCTTAAAGTTCTTTTCTTCGGTGTCATCGAAAGTATCATTATTTCAAGTTTTTCCGTTTGCGTAGGTGGCACTGAGGTATTGTTTCATACTTCGTCTCATTCTCAAACTTAAGGCACCGTGCCTACACCACATTTTTTTCTCGTTCTCTTTTGCATTGTGCTGTCAAGCTAACAACATATCTGTATCACTATATAACACATTTTCTCGTCTCATTAATCTCTCAAAAGCAAAATATCATTTCAAGTTGTTTTATACCTATCGTGTCAAACTGTTCCTGTATTGTTTGTATCTGCCCTAATCAGGTGATTCATATTTGTGTTAAATTTCACCTTGTCGTTGTAAGTCGTTCGTCTAAGTTGGTTACCCATTGATCACACGTCTTCGGGATTGTTGCACATTTTATTTTACATCATTGTATTTTTTATTGTGCAAGTGTGGGCATCCCGAGACGGTAGTGTTCCGGTTCAAAGCCACCAACTGGCACCAGTCTCTGCAGGTAATCGGCTGATGAGCATTATTATTTATTATATTTATATTTATATTTATTATATTGATACTTACAATTCTTTTATGTATCACTTACTTTGTATTGAGCCAACCAAGCCATCAATAATAATAATTATTAAATTTATTATTTACTCTCAATATTCACCCATTATAAAGTATCTATCTAAGTAAATAACCTATCATAAATATCATATTAAATTGTATCGCTGATGCTAAATTCTAAAACCTTTTACTTTCCCTTAATTTTACAGTTCACTACAACAACTCTAATACATTCCTAATATTACAATATCCTCACTTAAAGCAGTGCTGCCTATTGTTGTGCATCAGCTGATAGGCGCAACCAGAATACAATGTTGAACCTTAGATTCAAAGCGTAGCAAGTTACGTATTGGTTTTAAAATGATGTGTGTTTTTTAATTTTTTAATTTTCTTTTTTGTATATGTGTACACGACAGTTGGTCTAAATAATTTTCCAATTTTAAACTTCAGTATCTTGTTAGATGCAAAAATGAATCTAGTTGGTGCATATACCTACTATCAATTTTAAAATGCCTTTTGTTCATGACATTCAGACTTTATAAATCAAATAATTATTTAAGAATGTCACTACATTATTATGATCTATAGCTCCAAATGTCAACTATGTAAAACAGCTCACAATAGAAAAATCATAACTATGTAAAATTATCTATTATCAAATTGGCTGTCACTTTTTCTGCTAATCTTTTTAAAAAAAATTATGAACATTTTAAATCTGTTTTCATTAACTGTTGACAAGACACCTTCGGAGCAATATGAATCCAATTTATACATTTTGCTTGAGTGGATCTTGTGGTTAGGGCAATAAACGTGTCAATAAACATGACAAGCCGTCATGTGAGTATAATATATTTAATGATAATATTATTTCAAGTATTTAGACATTAGCTGTGGCTAAATATTTATGTATTAAACATAATTAAATTTACAAGATTCCAAACAAAATAAATGATTGTAGACTAGACACAAATAATAAATGATCATGATTATACATATAGTTTTTTTTACTAATAAGATCAAAATAACTATAGCAAAAAAATATTGTCATTTCTTCTGACACATTAAAATTTTTACTGAAAGGTTGTAAAGTAAAATTAATTTTATAATTATTTAAATTAACTACATATACCGCGTGTCTCTAGAAACAGTTATACACTTTATCCCTCATTACCCTGTAAATATCTTTCAATTGTGTTTAAATTCAATCCCGTTAAACTAGACTAATAGATCATAAATACCTAAGACTTAATTTTTTTTACTTAACTAATGTATTTGCATTAATATCATTATCTGATTGATTAAATTTTTTCAATAAATTTTGATGAATTGACTTGTGTTATAAACTAAAAATTGGGTAAATTAGAGCTATAGGTAGAATTTTAAAAAAAATGTATTAAGTTGAAATATTTTTTTTTTTAAGTAACTGATTGGAAAACTGGATGTTGAATCCCCTTTACTAGTTTTTGGAGTTGTATCTACCACCAGTAAAAAGGTTCAGGAGACATCCACCATGGAGTAGGTTTTTCACAAAATTAAATTATAATTATAATGTTGTAATTAATTTTTGATTTATATCATTTACTTTCAGACTGACTACAGCTGATATTCGCTACCCATTATTACAAAGAGGTCTGAAATTTAAAAACATTAAATAAAAAAAAAACCGTGTATGATGATATTGTATCAATCATGACAAAATAGTTAGGTATCATCACAGTTTTTTGATACGGATCTTCCATTTTTTACTTTAAATTTATCGTTGTTCTCCATTTCTTATTGGCTTATTTCAATTATATACATAAATATATAACATAGAAACAAATCAACCAATCAGAAGCTGATAACTATGACATGGGATCGAGGTCATACTGAAAAAAACTATTACTGCTGTGATGATATCCATCTGATTTGTCATAGTATCTATTACCCCCTAATTGTATTAATACATTTTTTAATTTTGTCCTAAGAAACACTCAAAAGCAAGAAAAAAATTTTAATATTGTCCAAAGAATCACTCAAAAGCAAGAATAAAAGACTGAAAAATAAAATGTCAATGCATTTAAAATTATCAAAATCACTAACCAAAAGTTTGAATGACATGAAAGATAAAAATGCCAAGCTTACTGAGAAATTTAATGTAGCGCTGTTGGAAGATAAAGATTACCAGTGCCCAGTTTGTCATGAACCATTCATAAAGGTAAAACGTTTAATAATTTTTCAAGAAATATAATACATGTATTATGTAATAATGATACAATTAAAAATATAACTAATTTTAGAGAACCTCATTGTCATAAGAATACAACTTATCATTTTAATTATTGTATTTTATTTTTATTTTTTTTTATGTTTTGTACTTGGTGCCTTGAAAATTGTTTAAAGGAAAATAATCACTGTCTGTTATGTCGGGTACCTATAACCCATGCTGTACACTGTTTGAGCATGAACAATTTCATTGAAAAAAGGATGGAACTCATGCCAGCTTCAATTAGATTAGAGTGCAAAAATTTAGAAGAAGACCGAAGGGCAAAACTTATATGTAATGCGTTTATACCGTACTTGAATATATTCAATTGTTAAAAAATTCCTTTATTATTTCAGTTAAACAAAGCCATGAAGAAATTTTTCAACTTTACCTTAGGTATTCAATCGATGCAAGCCAGTCATCAAATAATTAAAGCTTAAATAATGTGAATTGATAAATTTTTTTAATCCCGCTAAATTACTTTGTGCAACATATTTTAAATTATTACTATACTTGTAACAAAATTAGCAATTTGATTGCATCATCTTTTAAGGATAAATATCAATAATAGCATATTAGTGGTTGTGGGCCACATTACAAAATTGCTTATATTTTCTAAAAATAGGATTTAAATTGATTGTTTAAATATGTATATAAAAATTAACTAAGCTTAGTGTGTTTTAGTCTACAATGTACAATTTTTGATAATATGTAATACATATTTTTATAGAATATTCAGAATTTCAAAAAAAAATTTTAAGTATATTTATAACTATTTTGATAAAATAATTAAATAAAGATAAAAAGTAAAAAGGCATATTTTTCTATAATGTAATTACCAATAGTAAGACTAAAAATCGTGGAGGATAAGGAATATAAATTTATAAATTTACAAATATTTAAATAATGTATCTAATTAATGACAATTACAAATTATACCATTTATATAAAAAAAATTTTAGCATATGACTATTAATGTAAGTTTTCACAAATTAACGGAAATATTTTGGTTGTATAATAAGCTTAAATTGAAAAGTGTGCATACTATATTAATGTTTTCCATACATAGAATATAACATGTCCAATAGCACAAGTCCTGGTGTTAATCCAGTTACAAAATGAATATTCTTATTTCAAATAATTTTAGATAAGGTTGATATTATATTTTCATAGATGTTTATAACTTATTCAATATTAATTTCTGAGGCCATTTTTAGAAAACAAGATTTTTCAGTTATTTATTTTTATTTTTTTTTGATATTAAGTTAACAACACGCTTTAAAGCAGGCGTGGCTCCAGGAGGAACCTAGGAGCCGAGGCTCCCTCCCAATCCCATATTTCTAAAAATTGTGAATAATAAATGTACCTAAATTCAATTTACTTAGCATTTATTTATTTACACGTTTTTGGGGGTAATTTATTTTATCACTATGTTTCTTTTTTTATTCAGTAAGTACTTCTCTTTATTTTTCACTCATTGTTTGTAAACTTTAGTTGGCAAACAATAATTTCGAACATGGTAATAAGTAATAACACACTGTTTAGTGCACAATAGACAAATTTAAATATTATAATTTATAAAATATGAAATATAATTTAATAAGCGACAGTCGATAACGAAATGAAACAAATAATGAATACGCGATTGTGAGATAGCAATCATTTTGCATTGAGTACAGGAAATGAAGTAGGTTAACCGGTCGGCACGACAACGCTAGATGCCGCCGCTGTGATTCCAGATTTTATTATAATTATTTCTTATTACAAAGTTTGCAAGTTTCTTTTAATAACTTAATTTCTAACCTTACGATTTCGTTGATTTTTGCAAGAGGATCATCTGCATAATAATCTTTCTAATTTTTATAAATTTATTAGGTATTAATTGATTCTGTTGATAATTAGTTAAAAAACACCAAAATGTAAATAATAATATAAGTAATAACTGTTTAAATAGGCAACTCCTGCTTCGAGATAATCTACAGTTTCGTGCCGCCGCTATATTTTTTTCACTTAGCTAGCGCCACAACCGTGACAGCTGGATTTGAAATCTTTTATGATTAAAACTTAAATATTGAAAATCGTAATTTTTCGTCATATTTAATTAAACTTTAATATGGAACAGGGAAGGTGCTATAAGTGTGTTCAAAAACATTTTACTCATCAAATTGTTCAACTGTAATTAGTTTTTTGAATTCTTCATGTATCAATATGATATGGGTACCTAATTAATAATTTAAGTTTAAAAAAGGTATGGGATTAGAAATGTGTATAATGTTACAGGTTGATTTTACCAAGATTATCAACAGCTAACTTCGAATTATATCTAGACGAAAGAGGGTTGGTGCACGAAGTATCTAAGGACAAAGGATTAATAGACGTATATGTATAGAACAATATATAAAAATATGTCGATGCCGCGCTTGTAATGATGAGACAGTAGATGATATCATCCACTGGGACGACGTTGGAGGCGGCGACGGAGAATATAATGTTCGACTGTTGACAGCCAGAACTCATGACGACTGCGACGTCATCGACATTTCTGATGACTCTTCGGATGAAGAAGTAGTAGAAGAAGAATACGACGTAACGAGGACGACGACTACAGGTGTAAAATATGTACGGGAGCGTATAAAAAAGTAATTAGGTTATAGGTAGGTCCTCGATTTTATTTTACTAATGTATGCTGACATATTTTATACTTACCACAGTCACTGCAGGTTAGCAAATTAACAATTTGTATAAGTAAAGTTTTTTTTATTGAAATTAAGATTTTAGTTTAAGTTAATGATTTTTAAATATCAAAATTTAAGTAAATGCAGAACATAATAATATTTCACGTAATTATGATGTTTACCTATTTAAAAACATATGTGTTAAATTTATTTTATCGCACTTCGTTTTGTGTTTTGTTAATATATAGGTGGAAGAGCCATACCGTATACGAATGTGTTATTGTACAATATACAGTATGCAGGTTACACTATTCACAGTCGAATAATTCAAAAGAAGTCTTGTATCCTATAGGTCATTACTCAATCTCAGTTTTTCATATGGTAACAATACTAATATTTATTTTTTTCGGCCACATTAATACACAATAAAAAAATAATACAATAAAAATATAATGGTTGGTTGTTCATCTCCATAGCAATTTTAAACAGTTTATTACGAAATGAAACAAATAATAAATACTCGATTGTGAAATAGCGATCATTTTGTATTGAGTACACGAAATGAAGTGCTGGTTAACCGGTCGGTACGACAACGCGAGATGCGTCCGCCGTGATTCCAGATTTAATTATAATTTCTGATTAAATAGTTTGCACGTTTCCTTTAATAACTTAATTCCTAACCTAACGATTTCGAAAATGTTTGTAAAAGGATCATTTGCACAATTTGACTGATTTTTTCCGATTTAATATTTATTAATTTGATTGAGTAGATGATTAATTAGGTCCTGTTAAAAAAACACCAACATTAATACTATTACCGGGCAACTTCTGTTTCGAGATGATAACAATATCATACAGCCGAAATATTTTTTTCACTAATTTTTTAACCTAACCTAACCGTTAGACTGGATCACACATAAAATCAAGAATGTGTTAACGTCTATAATGGCTAAAATAAACACTGTCAATGGTGGGGAGTACTTTGTGTTGTGTTATTAACATATGAGCAACCTTGCATTAAATTTCCAAGTATCTTGACCAAAAAATATATTTTTATCGACATTCTTTTTTTTTGCACGCCAACTAATTATGTGAGATATTGTTTATTTATTATTGTTGCCCAATTTATAAATTGGTTGTACCAATAACAGGCAGTTGATTACTATTATTTTATCATACCTTTGTTAGAGGTAGTGACAACGGGACCGTAATATTATTATTTATTACTTTATATATTATTTATAGAAAATACATATAAGACTATAACTATTTATTATTTCGAGTTACATACATTTTTTTAACCATAAGTCCAAGTCACGCGCACACACTCACCACCCACACACTCTCGGGATTTGCTCGGCGAACACACATTCCACCTCCTGTTGAATGCAACACATAAAATACACTGTTTGGGCTGTGTGTGTTAAAGTACGTACCTAGTTATGTATTTCGGCAACTGGGCCTATATTATTGTTTGTACTCAGCATGTCCAACTGTTAGATGTAGATATAATATTGCGATCTCAAATTTAATGTGTGTACAATTGTTGAACTAAAGCTATATAATAAATAATAATATGTATAAGTTTATGAATATGTATTTGAAATTGTATTCTATGTGAAGTGAGTAATTACCTATTCTAATTCAGAAATTCGTATTGAAAGTTATGCTACAAAGAAATAAGGAACAAACAATTTTGGCTCGAGTAAAAAAAAAATCTTCTGTAAATACTAAATTGTATAATGATTTTCATATAAATATTATTTAATGATATTTTGGGGTAACGCGTTCAAATTGTTTACACAAAAACTAATTTTTATTAATTAAAAGTTATAATTGTATTGACTTTGGTCTTAATGTAATAACTCCGTAATCCATGACACAAAACAATTAAAATATTGTTTTTTTTCGTATATTCACAGTTACTTGATTTTACACACACGTACAGTAAACAGTAAACCTATGAATATACTAATATTATGGCAGTAACGTCATTAAAATGGATCTAAAATCGTCAATGCTATTATTGGGATGGTTTTGTCTACTCAATAATATTACACAAATTTATTATTTACAATAATTATAAAATTATAAATCAATAATCATTATAAAAAGAGCGGGTAAGTGAATGTCACTCTGGTGTACACTAGGCAATAGGCTGTAATGAACGGTACCTATTAAATTCGAATTCAATGCTATCAAATCATTGTATACGAAAAACGATTCTGAGCGGAGACGGTATGTCAGTCTAGGATAATTTGAATTGTTATTACC